AAGATGAAATCAGGCAAAGCGAACTGGTCCTGACGACTTAGCGGCGGACTTGTGGAAATCAAAGTGCTGGAATCCTGCAGAATGGTTGACGGAGTTCTTCAACCAGGTCGTTGCAGAGAAGAAGGTGCCTGAGAGCTGGCAACAGAGCACGACGATTCCAATCTGGAAGAAAAAGGGCAGTCCTGCGGACTGCACTAGCTACCGTCCAATTCGCCTGCTCTCGCATAGCATGAAAATCTTTGAGCGAATTGTAGACAGTCGTATCCGTGACGTCGTCGAGCTGACCACCAACCAGTGTGGTTTTGTTGCTGGTTGCAGCACCATCGATGCCATACACGCCGCTCGCCTTCTGCTAGAAAAGCATCGCGAAAAACAAAAGCCGATACATCTTGCCTTCCTAGACTTGGAGAAGGCTTTCGATCGCGTTCCACGTGACGTTATATGGTATGCTTTACGACAGCATGGCGTTCCCGAAGAGCTTATTGAGTGGGTGCGCATCCTGTACTCGAGTCCAAAGAGCCGAGTGCAAACGGCCGCGGGCACATCGACGGATTTTCCCATCTCTGTCGGAGTACACCAAGGCTCTGCGTTATCCCCACTGCTATTTGTTGTCGTCATGGATGCCATTACAAAAGATCTCCAGAAGCCGGTACCATGGACGCTTCTTTATGCTGATGACGTGATGCTCGCTAGCGAAGATAAAAGCACGCTTGAGCAACAGGTGCAAACCTGGTCCGACCGTCTAGCTATGTTCGGACTCAGGTTGAATGTCAAAAAGACAGAGTACTTGACCACCGATCCGAGTGAGCCAGGCTCTATTAAGATCAATGGTACTGAGCTCACACGTACAACAACATTCAAGTATCTGGGATCAGCAATTGCGTCTGACGGCAGCCTGGTCGTGGAAACGAATTCTCGCGTGAATGCAGCCTGGTTGAAATGGCGCTCGATGACTGGCGTTCTCTGCGATAAGAATATACCTGAGCGTCTCAAATCCAAGATCTATAGAACCGTCATCCGGCCGGTCGCCATTTACGGTGCTGAGTGCTGGCCTGCGACCAAAGAAGTTGAAGCCCGTCTCGGTGTGATGGAGACAAAGATGCTCCGCTGGACAGCCGGAGTCACACGATTAGATCGCATTCGTAATGATGTCATCAGGGAGCGATTCGGTGTAGCTCCGATTGTTGATAAAATGCGCGAAGCCCGTCTCCGATGGTATGGACATGTTCTTCGCGCGAATGAGGACAGTGTCCGTAAGATCGGTCTCAACCTTGACGTGCGCGGAAAGCGGCCTAGAGGACGTCCGAAGCAGCGATGGCTCGACACGTTGCACGAAGACTTGAAGAGCGTTAACATCCACCCCGATCAAGCATTCAATCGGGAGAAGTGGCGTCAACACATCAGAAAAGCGGACCCCGCCTACAAGCGGGACAGACGCTAAAGAATAAGAAGAAGAAGAAGAAGTTATTGCGCCAAAGTCTGTATTGCAGACCGACACGCACGAAACAGAAGGCACGAACGTCATTCAAGACATTCTTCTCGGTCTTCACTCAAGTGGTGAGAGCAAGGCGGTTCTGTGCAAAAATGACGAACTAACAAGGGAGGTCGTTCAGGGTGTGCCAAGCTTTTTCAAAATGGTTTCTTGCATGACATTGGGGCACATATGGGGACCACAGAAGCATGGTTCATTTTTCCTGAACGGCCCTCTGAATACCAGAAAAGGGGTCCCTAGTTCGATTCCTCGGTGACAAATTTTTGCATTTCGAGTTGACGTTTCAAAATTCGCGCAAAATGGAGTTAGCATGAATAATTAGTACCATATTCATGATTAGGACCGTCAGTAACCCTTACAAATAGACTTTGATTGAAAAACTGGTGAAAAGGTGTGACTAGGGACCCCTTTTCTGGTATTCAGAGGGCCGTTCAGGAAAAATTAACCATGGTTCTGTGGTTCCCGCATGTGCCCCTATATCATGCAAAAGACCGTTTTGAAAAAGCTTGGCACACCCTGAAAGACCTTCCTTGTAAGAGAAAGAAGGAGGACTGTAGTCTCATGGGTTGGTAAACAAGTTCGTAGGCGTTTCGGTGCGCGCGTTAAAGCAACAGTCCAGGCAGGGTTTCAACTACTTGGTCATTAGGCGGTCAAAACATGCCCCAGCCCAACTAAAGTTTATAGGAAATGTCTTTAATTCAAAACCTACCTCTAAAATGCGCTGGAAGGGGTCGAAGTCCTCTTGGAGGGGGCGGATCACCCATAAAGAGGCGGATCGCCCAACATACGCTGTGCAGAGCGCTTGCTCGACTAGCGGTCGTTGCGGGACCGCCGCGCTGTATGAGGTCGATTCCATAAGAACGCAATTGAAGCGCTTCAATTTCGATTGCTGGCAAATAGTTATGTATTTGCAAGCATGCATGGCTATTTGCCAGCAGTCAACTGGAGCGCATGTACTACGGGCAGGTTCGGACAACTCGTCCAACACACATCTCCCTAAACGGCCGGGGGAGTCCCTGTCTAAGCCCCTGCCCGACGTTTTTTTCTACTTTTTCTTCTCCATTGACCAACTTCTCACCTGCAACGTCATTATAGGTGGTCCTTACCCGCGAATTCGTTCCTGGATTGTTGCTTTAAGCAATGGTTCACAATGAGCTAATTTCAAGAACGGATTTTTATTATCACAAGCGCTTGTTCGCGGCACGTACCTTTTACGGCCTGTCCAATGGAACATACATCGAACATACCTAATTGTGAACGTCCAGAGACAATATTCCAAGTTCCACGCAAGAAAGCTCACCTTCCGAAGAAAACCAAACCTAAAAACAATCACTTCGGGGAGTCGCGGGTAGATCGAGCTTGGCCAAAGGGGCACATGGAGGGAAGTGCGCCTTGGGGCGGCCATGTACCCTAAAATAACCCTAATTCTCGTAGATCTACCCGCGACTGCTTAGTGTCACGATAAAAACACCTGGAGTGTACTTGAGTATATCTAATGCCACGTAACTTGGCCATCGGGTATCCATGCCCTGTTTACGAAAAGCATTCGTTTTTAGGCATTTAGCGTTGTTGCAACTATATTTCCCGAATCTATCCAGTGAGGGAGAGGGAGGGTGCAGAAGAACAGAAAATATTCAAATGACGCTGGCGCCGTGAATGAATATCCATATTCGTCATCAGGACACCAAAATAACCCCTATACAGAAGTTGACACCAAATTTGGTGAAATCAAGTGTCGTGACAAGGTGACGCCAACTGGCGCCAGAGGGCGCCACCGCCAAAAATGAATGTCATTTTCGTAATCAGGGCAGTCGAATTACCCTGCAGCCAGATTTACGGTAACCTGTAAGGGTACGCAAGTGCACTGCGCGAGCGGAGGTGTTTTTATGTGAAATTGGCTAGGGCTTATCTGTCGAGAATTAGTTCAAAGGCGACGCAAGTGCGTCAGAAATTCGATGAACTTAGTCTAAAAGATGGGTAGAGTTGCGCCCCAGAAGAGGAGTAAATCTTTTTGCCAAAGGTGAAAATGCCAAAAAGGTCCGTAGTGAAAGCATTTTCAGAAACAAGCGGAAATGTATCCATTGCCACATTTGTGACAGATTCGGCGGAAATTTGTCGATTTGTTCCCCCCCCGTTCCAAAGTTTTTGTCACGACACCCGACATTATTCAAGACACCACATAAATAGAATGATTATTTCGTGGATCCGCACAGATTGACATCCCGACCGGAGGCCCTTCGCGCGGCGAGAAGGTACAGACTCAGACGGTCAACTGACGAGTCGCAGTGGGGGGTTACGATTTTGCGTCAAGTTGAAATAGAATGTACGTAGTACGTCCCATCATCACCCACCCGCGTCTGGCGATATTCCCACCACCAAAACTTCGCTCTGGGTAATCCGCCCAGGAGCAGGGTCAACCCTACGTTGTTACGAGTAACAACGGGGGGGTCGTACCTGGTTGAGTTTGTAGGAGGGGGGGTCGTACCCACTTTAGTCGCTCGAAATCACGTGTGGGATTGAGGAGAAACTAAGATTTCGTGTGGGTAGTAGGTTGTGCGAGTAGAGGGCGCGCAAGATAAAAATTTGCCGTTTCAGCCGGCCCCCCCCCCCCGCTCGACGGCATTTTTGGAGGAAAAAGTGGGCGGAGTTTTGAGGGTTGAGTGGTAGTGGAAGTTAATGTTATAGAGAGGAATATGGTGGTTGAGGGTCGAGAAGGGGGTCGTACCAAATCCACCTTGGGGGAGGGGGGTCGTAAAAATTTTTCGAATAGTAACAACGATAGGGTTGACCCTGCCCCCCAGGAGGCCCGTCGCGCGGCAAGAAGGCAGAGTCGGCGGACGAGTTGCAGCGCGTGGTGTGCGATGTAGGACGTGCAGTGGGACACTCTATTTAACTTGACGCGAAATCCCTATAGTACGCGCGCGACTCGTCCGCTGACTTTGCCTTCTTGCCGCGCGACGGGCCTCCTGGGGGGTACCCCTTCGGGCTGCTACCTTCTCGCCGCGCGATGGCCTTCCTGTCGAGTACCCACACAGGGTACTACTTTTCACAAATCGATATGCAAAGCCCCTAATGAGAAAGGGAATGTTATACTTCGTGGGAAAATAGCGATTAACCTTAGAGATTTCCGAATTACTTGTTATGCGGACTCCTCAACCCTAGTTTGCCACAGATTCTTTCAAAACCCTGGCCAAGTGTGAAACAAAAGTTATTAGTGAAATCAATAAGTTTAAAAAACCCACGGCGAACACCTGAATGAGAAACACATTGATGATGACCGCTAGCATTACCAACAAAGGCGAAAGTAGCCCGAATTGTTTTCCCGGATCGCCTGGTCAAACACAGAAACAACCGTTTCAACTCGTTTTTTTTTCTGCTCGATATCTATGTACATGCCACGAAAAACCCGTCTGGAACGAGGATTTGTCTGCTGTTTGCTGCAATTCAGTGCTGTTCCATCTTCATTGCGATATAAGAACAGAAAAAAATCTATTAGACTGATGGCTCTTCAAAATTCTCCGGATTTGTCCAGTATTTGTTGAGAGGTCGTCTTTCCGCCAAACTTCGCTTCGGCTTTCCGCCTAGAAAACGGTGAAATTGTCACTAAGTTTATTATAAAAATATCAAAGGTTATTGAAGGCTTGGTCCCACCTTTTCAAACCTGTTGAGGGAGAGAACTAAAAGCGCTGGATCCACTAGAGGACCACACCTTGGTCAACAGTCGTAAATGGCCTAATTCAGATCTACGACCTCTCCGCCGATCTCCGTGAACTTACTGGTGTTAGTGATGCCGTGAAAGCTAGGACACCCTCAACCTGACGCCCTTAGCTCCGAATCCCCTAACCCCTTTCCTCCCAGCTTCCCGCAGGCCCAAAAAAACAGGATCCTGAGTGCATCGAGCAAAAGGAGGCGGTGGGAGTAGTTCCACCTCCCTGTTTCAAAATTCGCAATACAACCACAGTAACCCTCCTCACCACCCAGCCCTCCCCCCCCCTCCTTGCCCGAGTGGGTTGGACAGACGGCTAACTTTGCCCGCACCCTGCCTAGCCTACCCAAGCCATCCTCCGGTCATATGGGCATTGATATTCTACCAGGCACATCAGAAAGAGAGAGCGGTCACCAAACCCCATATTTGCGCGCCACGAGAGCCTTCTGGTTTTGAGTGTAACGTGTCGAACCCCCGTCTCTACCGTCTGCTTGAAGCATTGCTGTGATTCAGAACGGTCAATTGAATAGCGATTTCAGCGATGACCCAAGGAGGACCTTGGAATTAAGGGTGGGCGGTGTCATAGTAGTGCAGGGATGAAGCATATAAACCATGAGGAACGGCTCATCCTCATTTAAATAAGGGGTAACATTTTCGCAAACATGTTCTGCTGGTACTGCCCATAGACGTACCGGATTTCGACAAAGAAACAGCGTTTCATATTTTCGAAGACGTCATAACATGGAAGATATGAGGTGTCGAGGGCGGTGAATCTGTAATAGTAGCTTATAACTTCTTGGAGAACGTATTACTATTGAATTATCAATGTTTGGCGCCATCTTTGAGAGCCTTGTAACTAAATAGAATCCTAAATTCACTGCAAGATTTACCGTTCCAGAAAAGCATTACATTTGGGGGCATTATGCAATCAGCCAGGTGATGCGATGTCTACGCGCACCTCCCAACGTGGGTCAACCCTCCGTTCGCACTTTTTCGAACGAGTAAAGTCGCATATTGGGCTTTCCGGGAGGAATGCTACGCAATTTGTTTGGGATGAGCTTTTTGTGATCATAGTAGGAAAGGATTCATTGGGAGGATTTGCTATTCAGACGGTTTTTTGAAAGATTTTCTAAAAGTTGTAGAAAAGTATCGTGAAGTAGGCAAAGTTGGAGGATTTGCAGTTTGCCGCTCCATGATACCTTCCGAAGCTGATGTGACGGTGGGCGGCGTAGCCACTGAGATCCCCTTATTACGGGGGGGGGGGTCACCAATTTTCTGAAAAGTGCGACCGTGGCAGTTGACCCTGCTCCTCACCGCTACGATCTTCGTTCCTCAGTGCCGTCAATGAGCTTCAGATGCCCTTCTAACTATGCTTATATCGCAACAACTAATTTCCTGTCTTTTCACTCGCGTACACAAGACAAGAAGGCATCACATGCCCCAGAGCCGCAGCAAATTAAAGCTATGTTATGGAGCCGCAGTTTGAGTTTATACTACCACAATAGGTCCATGGCAAGTGCCGCTACAATTTTGAAGATGGTTTGGATATGCGCGTGGCGACATCCTGAAAGGAATTGCACAACACGGAATTTTTGATTTTTTTTTGTCTCTCATAAATTCCCATGTGGGCGTACCTGTTCGGTCTCTGGTCACAGAATGTTAGGCATTTCTCTCCTGCTGCCGTGTTAGCTACACCGCTCCTTCCGCAGCACTGAAAAGACTTTAGGCATTCGGTGTGCAAAACCGAAGTTGATTAAAAAGGCCGGAGGACACATCAATAGATCCTTACAAGGGAGGTCTTTCAGGGCAAGGTGCGCTTTTTCAAAACGGTTTTGTGCATATTGTAGGGACGCATGTAGGGAACGCAAAACCATGTTTCATTTTCGCTGAACGGTTATAGCAGTACCAAAAAAGAAGCATAAGGTACTGTTAAGGGTTCGATCCCCCGTGGCGACTAAATTTTGCATTTGGGTTGGCGCCTACGGTTTGGTGCCAAATCGCGCTAAATATCAAAATCAGATGTCAAATTCATCGTCAGGACCATTTTGAAGCCAACAAGTGGCCGCCAACCTTGATTGCAAAATTTAGTCGCCGCGGGGGATTGAACCATCAAGAGTATTATTCACCACTTTTTTGGTACTACTAAAACCGTTCAGCGAAAACGAAACATGGTTTTGTGGTCCATACATGCGTCCCTACAAAATCCGTTTCCAAAAAGCGCACCTTGCCCTGAGAAGACCTCCCTTGTAAAATGCTGGTACGGGTTAGTTTACACTACAATAGATACAATAGATAAAGTTGTTAAGAAAATTATCAAGGAATTTAAGCAGTGGTCAAATACAATGAAAAAAATTACTAATAATTCCATAATATAAGAGATAAATAGAAAACCATATCCAATATAATCAATATAACTATATCAAAATAATGTTAAACCTGTGTAATGATCCATTCCTTGAGCAGCACAGTAGTGCATCTCGTGAGCAGCTTCAAGAGGACAAGCATCGTTCTTGTAAAACATCTGTTCCAACTGAAAACACAACGGTTTTATATTTCCAATAACGTTTCTTCCCGTTCCCTTTTTTATTTGCTTTTGATTTATTTTAGCATTCAATGCATGAAGCGGGGTAGCACAGACTGCACAGACGGCGTGGAACCAGTCTCCATGATGAGAAAAAGTAGAGGAGGCACTGAAACATGAAACGAGATAGGGTAGGACTACAGTAAAGACAAGAGGAGGCGGAACACCGAATGGTCACCAACGCAATAGTCATCAAGATAAATCTGCATTTATTAACAGATCACAGGCCTATTGGGTGCGACAGTGCGTAGTGGGGAAAGAGTTTCAAACTTTACGCACGCGTACGGTTTCGGGTTTCAATCTCGGTATCGAATCGACTCAAAGCAATTACCCTTTTTACTTCATTCCATCTCTCTCCAACTAAGGCTTCCACGACGACGCCCTCTTCATTTTTTGGTGGAAAGGGCGCGTCCTGCTTCCCCCTCCCCTCTCATCCGCGGATTTTGTGTAATATACGACGCATCTACTTCATTTGTACATTCGTGGCGTTTGAATGCGATGTGGCCTATACAATGACTTGCGGGGGCCAGCCGATGTACAAGTCAGTGTTTTTATCCTCCCAGACAAGTCTGGTACCAATTAACCGACCCCGGAGGGATGGAAGGCTTGGTTGGCCCGGGCGACTCACGACCCAGGATTTGATCCCCGGACCGCTCGCGTGGTGAAGCGTGCCACTTGCCACTACACCACTTCCGCCCTACACCACTTCTGCCCATCAAAAACATAGCACAAAGTAAATTCGGTAAACTATAACACGTCAGTAATTCTGAATTCTGAATCATCAGAAATATGCAAAAATTTCGGCAAACGGTTGGTAAATGTATTGGCTGGCTACCCATATGGGCTGCCATGAATGTGCTGAACTTCAACTCTACCCATTTCTCCGGAGGCGACTAAATGGTACCAAACCGATCTGTGAGAAAAACACTGACTTGTACACGGCCATGGCCACCGCAAGCCCCGGTATCGGCATAGACCGTGTCGCATTTGAATGCCAGTACAGTTCTCAATGGAAGTGGAATGCATGGCTCATCCCAAAAATGACGCAACGCCGGAAGTTTCATTTCTTTTCATCCCGCGTATTAAGAAAAGAAAGTTGTTTCATGAAGTAGTACTTGAAATAATCGTCGTTTGCAACTTTCCCATTTTTGGACTGCCATGACAAAGATTTCAAGAAGAAAACTCTTACCGAGCTCGCGGTGTAAGAGTTGAAGTGGCAGTATCGAATACAAGCGTCTGGAAGACCTCTGGCCTTCGCAACATGTGCGGAAAATGAAATTCGGATTCTGAAAGAGAAGTTCTAGCTGGGATTCCATCGCGTCCACTGATCCCTTCCCCTCCTACCTTACCGTCAGTTTATCATTTGTGAAATTTGTGGCGAAGGTGATCGATTTCGGGTCCAGTGGGAGAGTGTGCGCCTCTTCGGCGTTGTCGTCTCCAACTATCACTCCATCCTGAATGGGTAGACCTTAGTAAAAGCTCATTGGAGATTCTGACGTGAACGACTTACGATTCTGGCTGTCAGCGCAGAAAGCGCCTTTCTTCTCATACAACCGTAAGCGCCACATTGATAGCCTTGCTGGCAT